CAAGTCAGTAACCCCAGCTCTGGAAACAGGGGACAGATTTGAATGAGTTGAAAGGAAATTGTGTTTTAAATGTTATTGATTCTTGAATGACTTGAGAAATTATAGGAAAAACTTATGTGTATTTAGAACGCCTGTAAAATTATGGCTTAAAATGAAAATAGAATTTTTAAGAAAAATCTGAGAGCAACCGATGTTGATTATGAGACAGTTTTGTTAAAGCAGAAGTTAAGTTAATCTTTTGGTGTGTGAAGTGTCTAATGATAATATTGAGGTGTTACCTTATGGGGACTTATTTATGGAGGATTTATTGAATTTTTTACATAGGGAGGCAAGAGGGGGCATTATTAGAAGATTTCAATCATTTTTCGACTTAAGGGTCGAGCTTCAAACGGTGAGTGGTTTTAATAAAAACTTTCCTTAAAATTTCAGATCTATGCTTGTATGATATTTTCTAGTATGCCATTTTTATATTTTGATGAGTTTGAGCAAAATGTGAAGCTTGCTTGGTTTATTTTTTTCCTTTGCATGTTTTTGGACAATTCTAGAGTGGTTGTTTTGAGTTTTAAAGGGAATGAACTTGCTGCTAATTAAACTTGCATGCATTTGGCTGTTTCAATAAACTGAGATGGTGGCTGATATTTTGGGTTGCATGCACTTGGCTGGACTGCATTTTGAGAGGTGCTTGAGTTATGTATTTGGACAAAAGTTGGTTGGTTAAATACACTTGTATGCTTCCAGTTGGACTGTCTTTGAGAAAATTGATTTCCATGGTGTTTTAAAATGCTGGGAGTTAAGGTATTTTGGCTGTAAAATGTTAAAGAAAAGACTCAGATTTGTGAGGTTAGTAATAATTTTCAATCTGGGTTAAACCGTCAGTTTCTGAAACATGTTTAGAAAATTGTAGTTTCACCCCTATATGTGACTTTTGAATATTATGTCATACATGTATGATTTATAAGCACATACGAAATATGCTATTGACTTACATGTTACTTGAGACTATGCATGAGTATGTGTGGTGCTAAAACCACCCTCGAAGTACCCATCCCATAGATACAAATATTGGCTCTGCCGAGCGATGCAGGATCTGCCGGGTATGAATTTCAGATTTTATTGGCTCTGCCTCGGCGTTGAGTGGTCCGTCAGGTATTGACAGATTCAGTGGCTCGCCCGCGCGATGATAGATCTTGCCGGGTATGAAGATTTTTTATGGCTCTGCCTGGGCGTTGAGTGGTCCGCTAGGTATGACAGATTTTATGGCTTTGCCTGGGCGTTGAGTGGTCACCAGGTATGACAGTTTCAATGGCTCTGCTCGCGCGATGATAGATCTTGTCGGGTATGACAGGTACGTCCCTCGCTCTGCCTGCGTGTGGGACGCCCACCAGGTATGACAGATTTTCCCCAGGGTACTAGTTAGGTGAGAGTTTTCACAGTGATAGAGAGATGGTGGATCTGTATATCATTTATCTTGAAAATGGGAACTTATAAATGTAAATGTTTCCGTATATGAACTGTTTCTTAGAAATGATGTTTTAGAGAAACATGAATATTTATTCGTTTACCATAATAGTGTCGAAAGAAGTCTTGCCATGAGAGATTTCAACATGTGTTATGAAGATGGCTTATATTATAAAATGGTATATAGAAATGAAATTATAAGCAGAGTGTTTTTATTGTATATTGAATATTTTATTCATACTAACCCATTCCTACTCACTGAGCATTTTAGCTCATCCCTCGTTCTCAAATGTTTTTCTTTCCCCCCACCAGGTCTAGAAGGTGATCGTGCAGAGGGTGAATTCACTCAAGGTTGGCCACACGACTTCATTTCACCATAGTTTATAGTTGTATTTTGTTTCTGCTGCAAAGTTTATGTTTCTTTCATCATGTATTTATTTCTTGTTCGGATTATTAAAGATATGGAAAAATTGATACCATAAATTCCATTTTGTGAAAATTTCAATTACATTGTTTTACATGCAAATGACGTTACATTTTTATGATATTTTATTTATAAACAGGTTTTATAGTTTTCTCACATGGCACGTCTCGAGTGATCATTGAATTAATTATTCTCTATTTTTCTTTATAGGTGTATGATTTATATCTTTTTTAATTATAATATTTTAGTTTATTATTACAAATATTATAGAAGTGACCAATTATTAAATAAAACAAATAATTTTATTTGTCTTTTAAGTTGAAGAAGAAGAAGATAAAGGCGAAGAGTGGTGTTTGTTGAAGAATAGTTGAAGAGGAAGAGAGGTAGAGACGCCAAAAAAGAGAAGAAGAGAGAAAGAGGGCACAAAAAAAGAGAAAAAGAAAGAAGAGGGCGCCAAAAGAAAGAAAGAGAAAGGAGCGGTCGCAGAAAAGAGAAGAAAAGGTGCCAAAAAGAGACTGATGTCGCGCTTGGTAAAAAGAGACTGAGCATAAAACGACGTCGTTTTGATCAAATTGCACCTAAAACGACGTCGTTTTGGCTCAGTAAATAACAAAATTTTATTTTTAAAAATACGGCCAAATTATACGCGAATTATACGCGAATTATACGGCTAAGGCATATAATTCGCGTATAATTCGGCTGTGCTTATAGAATACGAGAATTCGTGTTTTATACGTGAATTATACGGTTGGGCGTATAATTCGCGTATAAAACGCGAATTTACTAACTAGGGTAACGGTTTGAACATCAGAAAAATTAGGTAGACAAATTTTATTGCTCTGTAATGTATTACATTTCAAAGCTGAAGCAGATGCTGCTTTATTTACAACATTATCGGAATTAAAAAAAAGTTGCAGGAGACTCTTTAAAGACAGACTGATTTGACTGATTATTTGGTGAACAAGTTGTGAACTTCGAAAGTGTAGTGGTTGAAGAACATTGATAGGGTAAGCTAGTTCGAGATATACAACCAGAATCAAACATATGGTTTTCTGACTCAGAATTTGCAGTAGCAATAAAAGTAGAAGAACTGGGCTATCTATATGCGGATTTGGCAGAAGGAATGTTGAGTTGATACAACCCTCCTTTAAGGTCCCCTTGCAATAAAATTTCTCTCGTGGACTTGTCCTTGACAACACAACAATTAGAATCAAATTCCATAGTCACATTATTATCCTTTGTGAATCTAGAGATACTTAGTAAATTTTTTGTAATTTTGAGAATACAAAGAATATTTTTAAGGTGCAAACACTTAGATTGTAAAGTACTTGGCAAAAGAGAATGACCGGTATGTGAAATAGTAAGATACTCACCATTACCAACCTGTAGTTTCTCTATTCTATCAAAGACCTTGCTGATATTCAATTGGTTTAGGTCAGAAGCAACATGATTTGTCACACTCGAATCCATATACCACACAAGATCAACTGGAGAATAAGTAGTAGCAAGGGCTGTTGGAGAGGTATGCTAAGTCTGATATGCCGAAGGACTATTGTAGTTGCTAAGAGTGCTAGGAGCTGATACGGAAGAGGAAGACTGAGCACCATGTTCTAATCCAATTGAGGCAAAATGTGCTTGATTGTTGATTGATAGTTGTTGGCTGGGGACACTAAAACTTGAAGAAGAATTAAAATTGGTATGTAGATGATCAGTCTGAGGATTATAGGCCTACTGCGACCCACCATAGTACTGTTGATGCACAGATCTTGGCTGAATATTCTGACTTACGAGAGGAAGTTGCTAAGTGGAAGAATGAAAGGTATTGTAATACCCCGTATTTTTTTTTTATGGAGTTTTATTAAATTTTATTTTGTGACTATAGGGGTAAAGTGTAATAATTTGAAAGTTTTGGGGAGTACATGTAGCCAAAATAAGTGAGGGCTAAATTGAAAATTTCTAGATATTTTGATGAACAGTGACCTTTCAATGAAATTAAAAACGGGGAAGAAGAAGAAGAAAAGAAAAAGAGAGGAAAAGATAGAAGGAAAAGGGGAGAAAGAAAAGAGAGGAAGAAGAAGAAGAGAAGGAAAGGAAGAAGAAAAGAAAGAAGGGAGAGGAAGATGGAACAAATAATAAAGAGAGAGGAGAGAAGCGAACGACGGAAATGGCTGGAAAAGTGGCCGCCGGTGAGCAAATTCCGGTGATTGGAAAGAGCAAAGGGAGATTGAGCAAATGGGAGGTTATTAAAGCTTGATATTTCCTCTTTTTGGTGATTTATGATTCAGAACTCTCTTTGGATTGTTTTGTCTATGATTTGGTATAAATTCATGAAAACAAAACTAAAATAGGGAGATTGATTTTAATAATTTGGTGTGGGTAGAACATAGAGATTGTTTCTAAACAAAAATGGGTTAAAGATATGATTTTTGATGTAAGGGTTTACTGTACAGAAATCTGACCATCTGGAACTCCGAAAATTGTCTGTGTGTTTTGGGTTTTGTTTTGAAGCTGAATTTTGGATATGTTGTTGTAGACTTCTTAAGGAGTGTTTAGAAATTTATGTCACGTAAAAACTCGAAGGGTTGAATTTTATATGGATTTTTGAAGTTGCCTTGTGATGTTCTGGAATTTTCGTTTTCTGCAGAACATGTATTTTGGAAACTGATTTGATGAATCTATTCTTATCCAAATTGAGTGATTTTAAATTCTGGTGAATCCTATATGTGTCTAGTTTAATTCTGGAGAGTTTCAGGAGGTTTTGATTAAGGGCTGAATTGTTACGAATTTTTCAAGTCAGTAACCCCAGCTCTGGAAACAGGGGACAGATTTGAATGAGTTGAAAGGAAATTGTGTTTTAAATAGTTATTGATTCTTGAATGACTTGAGAAAATTATAGGAAAAACTTATGTGTATTTAGAACGCCCTGTTAAAATTATGGCTTAAAATGATAAATAGAATTTTTAAGAAAAATCTGAGAGCAACCGATGTTTGATTATGAGACAGTTTTGTTAAAGCAGAAGTTAAGTTAATCTTTTGGTGTGTGAAGTGTCTAATGATTTTAATATTGAGGTGTTACCTTATGGGGACTTATTTATGGAGGATTTATTGAATTTTTTACATAGGGAGGCAAGCGGGGGCATTATTAGAAGATTTCAATCATTTTTCGACTTAAGGGTCGAGCTTCAAACGGTGAGTGGTTTTAATAAAAACTTTCCTTAAAAATTTCAGATCTATGCTTGTATGATATTTTCTAGTATGCCATTTTTATATTTTGATGAGGTTTGAGCAAAATGTGAAGCTTGCTTGGTTTATTTTTTTCCTTTGCATGTTTTTGGACAGATTCTAGAGTGGTTGTTTTGAGTTTTAAAGGGAATGAACTTTGCTTGCTAATTAAACTTGCATGCATTTGGCTGTTTCAATAAACTGAGATGGTGGCTGGATATTTTGGGTTGCATGCACTTGGCTGGACTGCATTTTGAGAGGTGCTTGAGTTATGTATTTGGACTAAAAGTTGGTTGGTTAAATACACTTGTATGCTTCCAGTTGGACTGTCTTTGAGAAAATTGATTTCCATGGTGTTTTAAAATGCTGGGAGTTAAGGTATTTTGGCTGTTAAAATGTTAAAGAAAAGACTCAGATTTGTGAGGTTAGTAATAATTTTCAATCTGGGTTAAACCGTCAGTTTCTGAAACATGTTTAGAAAATTGTAGTTTCACCCCTATATGTGACTTTTGAATATTATGTCATACATGTATGATTTATAAGCACATACGAAATATGCTATTGACTTACATGTTACTTGAGACTATGCATGAGTATGTTGTGGTGCTAAAACCACCCTACGAAGTACCCATCCCCCATAGATACAAATATTGGCTCTGCCCGAGCGATGCAGGATTCTGCCGGGTATGACAATTTCAGATTTTATTGGCTCTGCCTCGGCGTTGAGTGGTCCGTCAGGTATGACAGATTCAGTGGCTCTGCCCGCGCGATGATAGATCTTGCCGGGTATGATAGATTTTATTGGCTCTGCCTGGGCGTTGAGTGGTCCGCTAGGTATGACAGATTTTATTGGCTTTGCCTGGGCGTTGAGTGGTCCACCAGGTATGACAGTTTCAATGGCTCTGCTCGCGCGATGATAGATCTTGTCGGGTATGACAGGTACGTCCCTCGCTCTGCCTGCGTGTGGGACGCCCACCAGGTATGACAGATTTTCCCCAGGGTACTAGTTAGGTGAGAGTTTTCACATGTGATAGAGAGATGGTGGATCTGTATATCATTTATCTTGAAAATGGGAACTTATAAATGTAAATGTTATCCGTATATGAACTGTTTCTTAGAAATGATGTTTTAGAGAAACATGAATATTTATTCGTTTACCATAATAGTGTTCAGAAAGAAGTCTTGCCATGAGAGATTTCAACATGTGTTATGAAAGATGGCTTATATTATAAAATGTGTATATAGAAATGAAATTTTATAAGCATGAGTGTTTTTATTGTATATTGAAATATTTTATTTCATACTAACCCATTCCCTACTCACTGAGCATTTCTAGCTCATCCCTCGTTCTCAAATGTTTTTCTTTCCCCCCACCAGGTCTAGAAGGTGATCGTGCAGAGGAGTGAATTTCACTCAAGGTTGGCCACACGACTTCATTTCACCATAGATTTTATAGTTGTATTTTGTTTTCTGCTGCAAAGTTTATGTTTCTTTCATCATGTATTTATTTCTTGTTCGGATTATTAAAGATATGGAAAAATCTGATACCATAAATTCCATTTTGTGAAAATTTCAATTACATTTGTTTACATGCAAATGACGTTACATTTTTTATGATATTTTATTTATAAACAGGTTTTATAGTTTTCTCACATGGCACGTCTCGATCACCTGAGTCTCATGGGTGCGCCCGGAGTCTATGGGATAAGGAGGGTTGGGACGGGTCGTGTCAACTTGGTATCAGAGTAAAGGTTTTAGATTCTTCGGATGTTTTCATGATGTATATGTAAAGTTTTTATCTTTAAGAAATAAAGTTTATTACATGAGCATGAGTCGTTGTGGCCAACCTCGCACGAGACCTGTGGTGGAATTAATATTTCCCCAAGTATGAGGAATGGGAAATGAAATGTATTATGTGCCACATGAGGAATTATAAATGTAAGGTATGGGTTCGATTGGTATGGGTGTATTGTCTTGATAACTTAGGCAGAAGGAATGGTAAGGGGTTAGCCAAAATTTTGATTTGAAGTGTGATGGAGATTTTAATAGCATGTATGATGTATTTCACTTGCGAGGAAGTGTATGTTCTTGAAGCCTTGTGAGTTACTTTTCCTTATGGTACAACCTCTCTAGTATTATATGGTTCAATCTAGTTGTAGAAAGAGCGACTAATGTATTATACGTGTTGGTATGCTATTGAGTTTGAAGTACTTTAGTGTGATATTGGGTTGAGACGTTACAATGTGTTATGTGGAATTAAATCAATTCCTTTTTTTTCCAAATTTGGTTGAACATTTGGTAATGTTGAGTTTGTGAAATTTTGTGCCTTAATTTACAAGTTTTATAGAAAACAGCATAAGATTTATGTTTTAGAGACTTATAATTGAAGGTGATTAGCTAAGGTGGCTATTCACATGGTTGAATGTGTCACATATGATTTGCTAGGTTTTGATTGATTTGAATATGAATATTTCCTTATAGGAAATTTGGCAAACATGAACTTGAAAGCGCAATGATGGTACATGGTATGAACGTTGTGTTGGATTAGTTTGAAGGAATGTTTATATTGCTTGTGGGTGAAAGGATATTTGGTATATTGCGTGAAAATTATATCCATCTTTAATGTTTATGCCAAGAATGAAATTATGGATGGATTGTAGGTTGAAATGGGTCATGATTGTGAGAAAATTCACTCAATTTTGGAGGGGCTGGTTTGTTGATTATTAATTGGTAGTATTGGTTTAGTTGATTTAAGTGTTGACATGCATATTGACAACATGAGGATTATTGACTTTCAGCCAAGTGATGATTTATGGGTGACATGTAGGTGTGGATATATGAACAACCCTATTTACCTTGGTTTGAAATTCAATTTGTAAGTTGCAGGTTTGGATATATGTTTAGCATGCATGTGGTATTTTACTAGTATATGGAGTTTTGAAATTGAGTGTTGTGGTTTAATTGTAGGCATGTTTAAATAATGTATATGCATGCTGTTTTGGTGATAAAGGATATCATGGGTAATGTGTAATGTGTAATGTGTAACGAACTTGGTTGGTGCAATAGAAAAGTCCAGCCAATTGGTGAGAATGATTTGCTTGATTTGAAGATTGGAAGTGTATTGTGTTTAATTAAAATGATCAAGATTTAATTTAGAGGAAGAGAATTTTGTCACTGAGGCAATGCCCTGAGAGTGCGGAGACTAATGTGAAACTAATGGAAGAGGATGATTATCATGGGTATGCATACAACAGTATGTTGGATGGTGATATTTCTAGAATCATCTGGGATCAAGATCTCCTTGATCTTAAAGAATATGCAACCATGGGAATAAAGAAAAATAATGAGTTTGGAACTTCGTCTAAAAGCATATGAAGGTTGCAGAGAAAGGTGTTGGAATAACGTTCCACATGCACGAGGGACTGAAAAATATAGGTTTGACCATAAGACTGATTCAAAATTTAAGGACAAGGATGTTGGGGGTGTTGGAAAAATTTAATGAAGGATATTGTGGTTCATGCAAAGGACAAACAATTTGGTAGGAATTGTTCAGAATTATTTGGAAGTGGTAATCTATTCACAAGGGGGAGACCGTGATTATTCACTGGTTGCATCGAATTGGGTTAATGTGCACGGTTTTATGACACCCTCGAAATTCGTTATTGGAGATCAGAAAAATGGTGCTTTCAGTTGTAATTGCATTGTTATTATTAGTGAAAACGTTATTGTTACTGGTAGAAGCAAAGTAAGAAGTATGATATGATGTCAGTTCCTGAATCTGCTTCCAAGAGAAAGAATGAAGTGGAGAGCTCTAAAGGGCCACTTAGTAAGAAGAAATTATCATCAGTTGGAGAGGCAGGTCCAACTATGGTTTCATTAGTTATTTGGAATGAGAAAGTTTTCCTCATGAATGACGGCAATAAAATCATTGGATCTGTTCTTGGAGTTGAAGTAATGATGAGTTTCATTATAGGATAGAGTTTAATATTATTGGTTTTATTTCCTAATTCAGGGTTGTATTGATTATGGTAAGCATAAAAAGGAAGTCTCTGCATCGAGTATTGTAGCATTTGGGAATAACGATGATGACTTGTATAATCTAAATGTAATGACTTACGGGCGTCAAGGAAGGAATGTGACCAATTGAGGGAAAGAACTAGGAGATTAAAGAGCTTGAATGAAGGAACCTTGCGTTGCTGACTAGCAAGCATGAACGAAGCCCTATAAGAGTAATCCGTGGTGAGGCAAGGGCCTCTAATTCCTCTAGGACCCTTGGAGTGTAAAATAGAAGATCCCCCACTACTTTAAGGTTCATTGTTCCTGACAGTGTGTACTAGAATAAAGGTCATAGAATCAGAAACGCTATAGTAAGACTCCCTTTTTGTGTTGTTTGAAGCAAATTCTTGAGATGTAAAGCCCTAGCTTTCGAATCAGTGATAAACTCACTCTCTAGGGCAAACCAGATTTCAGTGGAAAAACAACATTTGGATACGTAGCTGAACATGTCCTCTGATATAGAAGCTAAGAGCCAACTCACTAAGCATTTGTCTGTTTTCTTCCACTGAATATATGTTGGATTGATTTTTTCATTAATAGAATCACTACTTGCCCTAGGTTTAGTACCAATTGAATTTTGTTCATTATCAATTACAGAACCACAAGGTATAAGAGGTGGAGGACAAGGAGACCTACCTAATAGATGGTCTTCCAGTTCATGCAATCCAATCGTAAAAAGAACTTGAGAGCTCCAAAACCTATAATTGTTCCTTGTCGGTTTTAGGCTTATAATCTGCAAGCTTAACACCACAATAGAGACAGTTCAAGTTGAGGAATCATGAAACATTCCCTCCACGCTGTTAGGCGATGGAAATGAGGAAGATTCTTTAGCCATTGACGTAAGTCAGCGGCTCTGATACCATGTGAGAAAAGTCTAGATATAGAGAGAATTCGAGAAGAAATATCTCTTAACTGAATTATGCTTAACTGTTTCTTAGCTGGAGTACAAGTGCTTATATACAAGTTCAGTCTATGAGCTGAACTGAGCTAACATTCATTCACTAATCATAGAACATAAAAACTACGTCGTTTACATAAGATATAACTCCTTAAGCTATGTCGTTTTATATGAAGTGCAGCCAACTCCTTCTAGCTTTCATTCTTGACATTTTAACCCAAGTACTTTGCATGGTCAATACAGGTAACAGATGATGAAATGATATTTGTTTAAAATTAGGCAACTGATAGGTAATCAAGGAGAGAAATAAAAATGTGGAGAGTTGTGTTTTTAATATAACTGAGCTGGTAGTAATAAACACATGAAAACCAGGAATCCCCGCCCCCAAATCAGCCAAATCATGCATCCAACTTGAATCACTTCTCTTTTATAATTTTGTTGAAATTTATCGCTTCATACTATTTCCTTTTGGCCTTTCTATTTCTATATACTATTAACTAAGCAAGCTTTCTTTATCTAGTTGCTAGAGTGTTTACAAAATAATCAAGAGAAATCAATTAGTTACACATGCAGGCATTCAGCAAAAGTTCATTAATTATATGATATGGGATTTTGATATTTGATTTGTTAACTTTGTCTGTCACATTGGTAAGTTCCATCAACAGACTATTGATATTCCCAAAAAACACTCAGGTGATAAAAAATGAAGCTATGAAAAAACATGATGTGTAGATAAAATTTGCGCTCCATCTTGAGGGAAAATAAAAAATAACACACACATATATAGCTACCCTAACTATATTGCAATATCAAAACATACCAGTCGATACAATCTCAACATTTTCTCCTACTGCCGTAGTTTCCGATTTAACGACATCCCATGTCCATGATTTCTTGCTGGGTATGAATTAGTGGATATCTACAATGAACTTTCAAACAGTAGATTAATAAAATATGGTATTCTATTAAAAGAATACGATATTTTATAACGAAACTTTAGGTCTTTCTTTATAAGATATCGTATTAAATAGAAACTTGAGGTCTTTCTTTATAAAATATCGTATTAAAATTAGATTTTAATTTTCCTCTTGTACAATAATTAGGTCTTTCAAAGAGCAGAAACTTTGCAATTGCCATTAACCCTCTTTCTCACGGCAATAATAAGAATACCTAAATATTTTAAAAGACTTTTCGATATTCTATAAAGAAACTTGAGGTGTTTCTTTGTAAAATACCTAAATACTCTGTAAAGAAAGACCTCAAGCCAAGTGCATATTATTAATGCACTCTTTGAAAGAGAAAAAAACTCTAATCATATTAACCAAAATGAAAATAAAAAAAACAGATGGTGCTGTTATTATTGCTGTGAGAAAGAGGGTTAATGCCAGTTGAACCAAGTATTTACAAATGCAAGATAAAAAATAAAAAATAAAGAATTAACGACATTAATCACCCTCAGATATAATATACCAACAAAATATCTCTAAAGTTTTTGAAATGATGGAACTTCCCCTATCATTAATGAATTGCTAGTGAATTGTTAAAACTCACACTGTTATGAGTTAATAAATATTACTGAATTGTCTTCCTACCATTAATTTTAACACTTAAAACTTAACAGTAAAAATCAATAGAGAGAAAAATCTTAAGCAATTCAAAGATAAGATTATGAACTTGTACTCATTGCTGCAAGAATATTGCAAGTTTATCAAAAACTAAAAGACTTTATGAGAATCTAAAGATTAATTAATTCGGGATACCTTGAAACATACCCGCACCAAAACAA